TAGCGCGTCCCGCCCCTTTCCCTTGCCCCGCTCCACACGTTGCTCCTCCTCGCATCCCTTTCCTCCCCCGTTCCCCTCGCTTCCCGCACCGCGCGCGCGCGCCCCGCTCCCCCCCCCCCCCATACCCGCGGCGCGGCGCTCGCCCGCCCACTGAGCGCGCCGTGGGGCCCGAGATCGACCACCCGCTAGCAAGGCAGAGCAAGGGCAGCTACCGCTCCGTCGTGTCCACGCAGCGCCCAAGCGCGCAGTCATCGCGTGCTTCCGCGTATGCTCCCGCTGCACTCGGCTGCCCAGGGTACTCCCGCTGCCCCCGCCCCGCCCCCTCCGCCGCCCCGCGGCCCCCCGCCGCCCCCGCAGGCCGCGTGGCGACGCGGAGCCTCCCTCCTTTCCCAACAGCACTCTTCGAAGCGCCCGCCAACCACTCGGTGCCGAGTTCAAAAACATTATTCCCCCTCTTACGTGCCGTAAAGAAAAAAACAATGTGAGAGGTAATGTTTTTACTTTCATAATGTAACGAGTAATAATGTCACGAGTCGTAATATAACGAGTGACGTTACGAGAAATAATCTCGAGTGGTAATGAGACGAGTAACTACGAGTAATGGCATTACGAGAATGTTACACAATATTACATATAAAATGCTACTATGATATGTAATTGTAATATTCTCACTATTGATTTGTAATGTAATAAATAAGCGTCGAAAAATGCTGTTGGTGAAAGGTTAACTCTGATTTCAATACCTGGCTATGTACTAACGAAGAATAACCCATAAACAAATAATAACAATAACCGGAAAGCCCGTGACAATAAACACGTGATTAATGCCCCCCATGATCTGCCACAAACTAACAGGATTCAAAAGGTGTTTGTTGTGCCGTGTGCATTTTGGAATGTCTTGTATGAAGCGTGTTACTAACAAAAGGGACGGAGTCGCATTGGCAACGAGAAGCAGAAAACGCAGTAGGAAGCACGGCCTCCGCAAATGGAAGACAGCACGCCACCGTGGATCACGTGGGCGGTACACGAAACGTCGACTAAAGATAATGAGTCTCCACTCACGGTATAGTTACTGCTCAATCGAAAGCGTTGGTTGCTGACGAGTGTGTTGTTCCCTGTCAACACAGCATCCAATGAATGGAAGGAGTCATCGCTTTATCCACAGCCCTTGGGAAAATCTCAATCCCGATATTTCCTCATCTCCCTTTGTCATGGCAACGCATTTGCGTTGTCGGACTTGCTCCTTTCAGAATTCGTGAAACATACGTCACTGATCCACTGCTCCTGACAACAGACTGAATTCATCCCATTCATTCGCTCCTACTACGCCAATTTTCTTTTTTAATCTCAAGCATTATCTTTTGAATTAGCTCTAAACACACACTGTTATCCTAACCCAAAACACCTAAACACCTGCTATAGTTTAGATTATATTTATGTCACGTAACCTTACACTTTCCCAAGTCTTTCTTTGAAATCTTTCGTCGAAAGTTGTATGTCATATGATTTGTGTCCGATTATCTCTATTCACTTGTTTATTTTTTGCAACTACCTCACTATTCCATTTGATATACTTTCCTTCTCCAATCTCTCTTCGAAATCGGTACCCTATTTGCTATATACCTCTTACAAACCAATTTCATTCTCTATGCTAACTCTGTTCTTGTATTCAACACAGACTATAGAATTCTTTCAACAAATGAATTGCACTCACTAGCTCGTTCTTCTGTCCTCCTCCATCCTCAGCCACAAAGCCCTCCTCCACAAGCCCCTCCATGCGTCCCCTCCACCTTCAGCATACCACTCTCGACCCGACTCCACACGGCATGACAAGAGCCGAACCGACCCGACGCGATCCACACGACCCCATCCAGCACAAACCGAAACGACGTGACCTAACTTCTCCCGACCCGATTCAATTCGAAACAACACGATTCGACTCGATTTGGCTCCACTCTGTCTGAAACGACTCGACCAGACCCGACCATACTCCATTCTATCCGACTGTACTCGACGAGACTAGATTCTCTTGGACCCGGCCCGACTCTATTGGACCCGACCCACTCTATTAGACCCGGTCCGACCTCTATTGACTCGACCCGACTATTATACCGACCCGACCCGACTCTATTGTACCCGGACCCGACTTTATTTGGGGACCCGACCCAACTCTATTGGGCTCGACCCGCTCTATTGAACGGACCCGACTCTAAATTGAACGCGACCTGACTCAGTAGACCGGACCGAACCCGACCCAACTCTATTGGACTCGACCCGCTTTTTGGGACCCCACCCGACATAATTGGACTCGGCCGACTCTATTGACCGGACCCGTGAACCCGACCTGACGCTATTGGACCGGACCGACCCGACTCTATTTGACCAGGCCCGGCCCACTTCTATTGGACTCGCCCGATTTATTGAACCCGAACCGGTCCGTTCAGACTCGACCCCATTCGCTTGCACCCGATACGATGATTGGAGCCCAGTGCGACCCCGCCCGGCCCCGCCCCGCCCTCCTGTGCTCCCCGGCGTGTGCGTGGCGTGCTGCGTGCTGTGTGCGTGTCCGCTAACCGACTAACCGCATGTGCTGTGCCGTCGCGCCGCGCCGCGCGGGAAACAGCAAGCCACGAAGCAGGCGCCCAGCCGCTCGGGGTGGAAGCGCGTGCTGTCGGCAGCTCGCAAGCGCGCCGCCATCGCCTGCCTGCGCTCCGAGCCGCTGTACACGCTGCGCAGGTAGTATCGCCCTCAACCGCAGGGGACACTCACCGACAGAAGGGATCCCCCTCCCCCACACCAGCCCCTCGCCCCTCGCTGGCGGGGCGGCACGACGAAGGAGGCTGCCACTGGGCGGCCACTGCCACTGGCGGCGAACTGGAGAATTAAGGAGGAGGTTGAAACTTAAAGAACTTATTTCTCCCTCCACAATTATGTTAATAATAGTTACAACAACAAGCATCCTGTGCGTTCGCTTGTTCAGTTACCAAACATTTGTCGTTTTGACAGTTGGCCTCTCCACCTTCTGTGGGGGCGTTCTCTACTTCTTCCTGTTCACAGAACAAGGGATTGATTCTCTGGAAACCACACGAACGCTATTCATTTGCTGTTGGTGTTCCAGCCAGCTCCAACAATATTATATTTCCTTTTCACAAACTGATGTTATTTCTGGTTCTTGATAGACATTTTAATTTCTTTTCACATCTTCTTAGTAATATTTGTTATCATGTATTACATCAAAAACAATTTATGTACTTGGTATCTGATGAGAAATAAATGTACTGTAACAAAGAAATGACAATCTCAGCTTTTGCTCTTAAGGTTGCTGAAAAACTGAAATTTTCAACTCATGTCCAGTCTCCGGTTATTCACGTATCGTCATTTTGAACTCTTACAAAGAATGTAAGTAGTGTTGGTGTAAATAAGCTAAGGAATATTTTTTATCTTTTGATACCAGTGACAATTTAATTGTAGTTGAATGGAAAAACATTAAGTCTATAAATTAATGTTATTTTTTTGTTGAATTGATTCCAAAAACTTTTAATTATTTTTTAGAAGAAGAAACAATTACGCATTTAACTGTTTTTACACTTATAGTTGATGGCATCTTTCCGTTTTGTTTTACTATTCTTTCTTGAAAATATTTAAAATAGTTACAAGAAAATGTGAACTGTTCAGAAGCGATCTCTTTCAATTAATATTTTCTAAATGTCCATTATGGTTCTGCACTAACGTTTTCATTGCTTTCATTCATCCAATGAAAATATGACATTCTCCAGGATGTTGCTAGGAACAAACTATTGTCGCCTTCTTCGTCGTACCGACTCGCAGTTGATCGGCAAATAATTCTTCAAATCTCCTTAGCAACAGACATCAGGAAGTCTTGTCATACTGATGAGATTTTCTGGTCTTCAACTGGGAAGTCCCTAACAATTTGTTTGAAACACACAATCGGCCATGAAGATACGATTATTGTATTCCAAATTTTCAATACAATATAAAATTGACATAATTCTCCAGTTGATGTTTCCCTAATCTTGCTAAGCTTTCTCTTCTATCTCTGAGTGTTCTTTGCAAAACAGTGCTTGGAAGTTTCGCGTTTTAGTAATCACTCCAATTTCGTGTGATTCCTTTATGAGGAACTTGCAAGAACACGATCAGTTTGTGCCCTGAATTTCAATTTTATTTTATTTAAATATTGAATGTTATATGTGATTATTTTTGTTTAAAATGCATTAAAATATTTCGTTGTGTTGCACAAGCATGTTTGTTGCCTGGAAAAGTTTCCAGATTTCGAAACAAAGCCGCCTAACTGCACACTAGCGTGCTTATAATCTCGATGTATTCACTATTTAATATAGATCTGAAAGATCATTGGTCCCCTCTCAAATGTTTTAAGTTGTTTCCTTGAATAGGGAACATGCGAGTCTTTGGTGTTGCAATGTTCCAAGCACTGATCCACTTACACACCCACCACTATACACCCGCAATGTTGTGTTTGTGTTCGATGTGAGTCACAACAGAAATCTAGAGACAAGTCGCTGTGAAATTAAATGCGTCTTGGGGGCTTCATTTTCCCGGGAATACGTACTCCTCAAAAGCTCTAGAATATACTAGAGTTACTGGTTAACAACCTTAATTCATTAATATATAATTTCAAACTATTTTTAAAATGTGATTAATTTTAATTATTTTACTATTACATTGATAAAATATACATTTCGGATTTTTTGGATTACAATGAAAGAATTTATACGTAAGTAACTAATGAAATGAACATTTTAAAAACTTAAAATATATTTTCTTTTCGTATGGTTACTTTGTCCCAATAAGGAAGCGTAGTTAGCGAAATAATATTATAAAACGAAAGGAAGTATTTATTGTCTGTATGCCCTCAGTTATCATTCAGACGATTAATTACCGATAGTTCAAAACATTCTGATCATGTTCTAACAGACGCGACATTAATGCAGCTATTTGTCTCAGAATTTCTCGTGCTTCTCTTGGTTGTGAAAAACGCACAAATGTCTGTACTTTAATGAGTTTTCTGTGACATAGGCATCGCGCCATTAACATCTTCATCCGGTCGTATTACGAGATGTGGCTGGAAGAAGAGAACGTAGGCCAGGAGGTCATGATTGAAGATCTGACGGTAAGAGCATTATATCAATCTCCTCACGTAATATTTGTTTTAGCTTTATATATGTATAATTGTGAGTAATAGTATGTTCATTACATACCTTAGAGAAGTAAATGTTTGAATTTAGTTTAACTAAAATTATTTAATAACTTTTTGGTTTGTTTCTTTACCTATCATCGAGGTATTCTATGATTAATAATGTATTCCCCCTACTTATAAAACTCATTAGCGTTACACAATAAATCTGTAATATATTCAGTGAATTATTCATATTAAGAATTTTATATTTCATTTTTTAAGTAATAAATTATGTCTAGTAACGGGCGAAATTCGATGCAATGTGTCTTATTCAATAGGACAGTAAAGAATGCAATAAGACATATAAGTAGACTGTTTAGTCATCTTGCCAATATAAATGTGGCCGGGGACAAGTAATCATTGGAAAGGGGGCTGTTGTGTGACGTGTTGGTGGCTTTGCAGCAATCGTTCGAGGACGCGGAGCTGAAGAAGCAGGACAAGGAGGAGGAGGAGAACAAGCCGGATCCCTTGAACCAGCTCGTGACCACCTTCTGCCGCGGCGCCATGACGGAGCGCTCGGGGGCGCTGCAGGAGGACGTGCTCTACATGTCGTACGCGGAGATCGCGGCCAAGTAAGCGATGTTCTTCTTCTACTTTTACTTATTCGCTTCTGCACTTTTACTTTTTGCGCTTCTCCCACTTCTGTTTTATTTTCACTTCTTCCACTTCTCCCACTCCTTCAACTTCTTTCACTTCAACCATTTCTTCTACTTTACTGCTTTCACGTCTTACGTATTTTTACTTTTCGCACTTCTTCCTCTTCTGTTTTTATTTCGCTTCTTCCACTTTTCCCACTTCTTCAGCTTCTTCCGCTTCTTCAGCTACTTCCACTGCTATCACCTCTTCTACTTTTTCTTCTTTCACTTCTACTTTTACTAGCTTCACTTCCTTTGCTTCTTCCACTTCTTCGATTTCTTACACTTAATCTACCTCCTCTTCTCACTAAACCTATCCTAGATCAGGACGCTGCTGCATCTCCATCTATTTCTTGATGTATTCTCTCCATCTCTTCGTAAGGCCTCTCGTTCGTAGTGAATACAAACCTCATTTTCCAACAATTTCTTCTTCTTCTTCCTTTACCTTTTCTCACTTTTCTTCCACAATCACTTTTGGCGCTATTTATTTTTACTAAACGCCAAAATCTGATTTTTTTAATTTTCTGTATGTTTTGCATTAAGTTTCTTTCCCCTTCAACACTTCGAAAGTCCTCTGCCTTAGCTGCCTATTCAATCCATTTTATTATCTTCATAATCTTCCACAATTATATTTAAAAACTCTCCTGGTGTCTCATCTCCTTGTAAAACAACATTCCGTCTTTCTTGGTTTCAAATGAAATCAATTTATTCGTTATTACTGTGCTCTTATCGTTTGTCACTGTAAGGTGTTTTAGTCTCAGTAAGTCTCATCAAATAGCGAGAGCTATTGAAGTTCTTTCTCTTACCGAATATTTTCCCTCCCTATTAACTTCAAGCGAAATCTAATATAGGCATTCTATATACTCCATACGAATTGAGTCAGTCATTATTATTAACTGTTGGTATTGTAGAACCTTATACTTTGAGAAAGCTTGATTACAGAGCCTTAATAATGTTTTTGAAGTATAGTCTGAGGACTAAAACTGAAAACTAGCCCAATCGTATCATGCCGATACCGTTTACATCACCAAATTCAAAATGCAAGATGACATGGAATCCAACTGAAGAATCCCACGTATTCTACGATATTACCCCAATTGAGCGCTAATTTGTGTACATTCTTCCATAACATAGTTTCTCCTTTTAAATACGTTGGAGGCAATATGAAGAATATAGAGAGAGAAGAAATATAAAACGAATATACATTCCCTTGGAATTGCACCCTTCCTTGCATAAATATGCATAGTTCCTGTTAATAATATCCGTGTGCCTGAACTTTGTTAACAAGACAGGAGTTGTTTTCGACCTTGTATCCATTCTGAATTTCATTTCCCCGCCTATATTTTTCGTCTTTTCCTTTCTCTTATATTTTAAAAACATTTTTTTTTTCTTTTTTCCTGTCTCATGGTTCTGTTCGCTCGCAGGTCGTGCGGCGAGGAGGAGGAGGAGGGTGGCGAGGAGGAAGGCGGCGAGGAGGAGGGCGGCGCGTCCATCCACGTGAGCAACTGCGCATGCGCACTCCGTCGCCGCTCGTAGGCGCACACCTGAGCACTCTTCAATTACAAAATACTACATGTCTGCCTCAAACCGGTGTGCTCGAAAATGTTATAGTCGTGTAATAATATCTTCCCAAGGGTCTTGTTTTATTTCTTTGTCTACGATCCCTCCTTGTGATGTCAGATTGTACTAAAATTAAGGAAACGTCCAATCATTTTCATATTTTTCATTCCACATGCATACCATATATCATAATTGTTGAATTTTGGGAGGATTTGTATTACGTGTTAATTAGTAAACTCAATATAAAATGTTATTTTCAATAAAATGTAATTTTCGAAAATAATAAACATATATTAATCTAAAAACAATGAAAAATGTCAGGCAATATCTTCAAAATTTCCATGTAACAATTATGTTAGTGGTCTGCAAAATTTTAAATTGCGAATTCATTGGCTTGCAATATGTGAAAGGTTGCCGACCGCCAGCGTAAGAGTTTTCACATCGTGAAACTCGACACGAGCGTCAACCCTAGCATACACTGCTAACAGGGAATCACGTGACCATTTAACGTTTGGTGTTTTGATTGCGATTAGCACAATTCCTGAGGCGTTACTTTAATGGGAGTAGTTTCACAACAGGATTCGCAAAGTATATGAAGGCGAAGGAGTTTTTTTCAATTTGGACCCCCTCTCATAAAATAAATAAAATCTTCGTTGTGACTTCAAATATATCAATGTCTAATTATATTGCCAATACTCCTTTCGATGCTATGCGAGCAGCATGTGACAATTGTTTCTAGTATTATGAGTAAAATTACAAAAATGTCGGCTTTGTGGGGGGCATTGCCCCAATGTACCACCCTCTTCCCGTAGGATCCGCCAATGAGTGGCCGCTAGTTGTAAAAGAGCATCGCTTAGTTCTCAGGATCGCACATTCTGTTCATTTGTACAACGTATTTTGATTTCTATCGTAATTGATTGCTTATGCAATAGTTGCATAACACGTTATATGTTGGAACCACTTCCATTAAAGATCTTCATAACGTTTATCCTTCACGCTTCAGAAGCCAATAAACAAATGGAATATCTTCTTTCAACGTTTCTCTAACGTACGTTACAATTGGCGCATGACCGCACTCTCAAAAAAGCGAATACGTTGTGGTTCTACACGCTATTGCGCTGCGCTGTAAAAAGTACACTAACAAGCTTTACGAGCCTTACTAACACCAACCCCTTTTGTTGTGCTGCTGGATGTAGCGGACAATGGACAAACTAATGGTAGGTAATACGCTTCTTTATGAATGACCACATATCTGCAAAAAAATGGTAGCAGATATCGACATTTAATTTTAGAAAACATTTTTATTACTTTTCATTTAATGTAATGTTAATTTACCATAAGAGTCAAATGCCATATCTAATCCAATGGTTGAATATGTTTTCTTTAACATGTGATCGTAGTCTAAGGTCGTCTTTGTATTTTGGCAATATTCATATTTACAACAATCTTTCTTCCAATGTCTAACTAATGAAAATGAAATATTTACAAAATAAGCGGAAATTTATCTAGCACCGAGTAGATGAGACATATTTGTAGTACGTCATAAAGAAGTCAAACACAACTTTCAAACAAGAATAGTATATTATTAATTTCTCTTCTTCTGCTTCGCAAAGAAGGAAGAGCTGTAGAATAATTACAAAAGTACTACATCTGGAAAAGTATAGTAATTAAATATTAAGGAAATTCGGGTATCTCAAAACTATTTTTCTTGTTGTGTAATACTAATTCTCTAATTCTAATCAAATTCTATAACAATACAATTGCTATTCGCCGTGAAAACAATGTTAAACATATTTATAAAAATGTAATTTAAAGTTGTATATTTACCAAGATCGGTACATGCATGTTTTGGGGCTAATTATGTCCAAGAAATCCTACTGTTCACATTAACTTAAAAACTTAATATATAACATACAATTAAAACTGATATTTTTAGTGAAGGAACACATGTATGAGTCCAGTACTGGACTTTGCTATTACATACCCATACTTATCTTTACATTTTAAAACTACCTTATCTCTTAAAATTTTCTCTTTGGTAGCTGTCACTTGCATTTTTGTCTGCACAAAAAGACGAAATATCGATTGTTTTCAATCGACTGATTATAACTCTTACTATGAATTAATGAATAACGGCAGATAAGTGTTCATTATATTAAATTTAATATATTAAAATTTGGTATCTATCTTATAAAATCAGTTAACAAGAGTAACTTATCCATGGCTCACTACCATTCATTTAAAGTAAAAATCACGAAATTCAGTTGAGTACAAAGCTCAAACTTCTTTCTAAACAAAATCCCTTAGTGTTTGAAATATGCAATTATGGATGTTATTATTAATATTTTTATTATTTAATAATTATTATTTACAAGAATAGTAAATTATTATTTTTAGAATCACACAATTTATTTTAATGTAAATACCTATAAGTATCCAAGCAATCCAATAAGTATCCAATAAGTATCCAAAAGTGTTGTGTAAAGTAAAAACTGAAAATTTTATCATACAACCTTGGAATTTGTATTTTGTATTTTATTACACCGTGCGAGGTTTTCATTATCTCAGAAAAAGCGAAATTAATGTATTCCTTTACAACTAACCTAATCAAATTCATTCAAATATCATGTACGAATATCTTATCCACTTTGCATGTTTCATTACGGTGGTCCATTAAATGCCCCGTGTATGACCTCTGAAAGCAACTTGTTGGTCCTCCCTGCCCAGGAGCAAGAGATGGAGAAGCAAAAGCTGCTGTTCCACCAGGCGCGACTGGCCAACAGGGGCGTCGCCGAGATGGTGCTGCTGCACATTTCCGCCTGCAAGGGCCTGCCCAGCGACATGGTGATGAACACCTTGAAGCTGGGCATCTCCATCTTGAGAGGCGGCAACTCCGACATTCAGATGGTGAGAGACGGCTTGAACTACTTGTGTGTTATTGTATACTGTAATATAATCGTTCGTACACTACGCGAGACTTTGTGTAATTGGGGGGGGGGGGCGAATCTGGCGAGTGTCAGTTTTATATTCTATGAATAATGTGGTTTCAATATTTTACCAGTTTTATTTTACAGTGTATTTAACTTCAGGGTTTCTTGTGTCTTGAATGTTCACTCTCCACATTTATTCCATTTTGACACGATTACAAACAGCACAAATTGACTTTTTTATTTATTCTTTTTTAATGTTCAATCCAGTTTACATGTAGATGGTCGAATCAGACACATTCTTTCAAATTTGAAACGCAAAATATTATATTATAAGACTTTTCTAATACTTCAAGTGAATGATGGATTGAGTATAGAATGGGCATTTGTCTGAAAAAACACTGGAAACTTCCTCTCTTATAATCTTCAAACTTGTTGTTTAAAGCAAGAAATAAGATGAATTGGGATGTATTATTCGAAGATGTATGTGTATTAAATGCCATAAGAACAAATTAGTAATGTGAGTGATATATGATTTATTGTTAATAACATGTTTAAACATAGGTTAGATAATAATTTATAACTTACTGTGTTTCTTGCACATTAACAGGGGGAAAAGTATTGTCCAAAATTCCCTTAAAAGAGAGTCTAATGATGCAAAAACTACAAAATTGTGGAACATCCCTGAAAGCCAAAGAAACTTTTTTATCGCACGAGTATTTTAAGTTTGTTTGTATAAAAGGTGTCACTGAAGCTAAAATGTCAATGTTTGTTTGAATTTCAAAAATCTTAAAACTTTCTTGCAACGGAAAGTCATATCGATTGCTGAGAATCAGACTGTTTTATGTCCAATTTAAAAAAATATATTTCTGTTTAATTGTATACTAATCCCCTGTCTACATGAGTTTATCGAACAGAATTATAAAAGATCCACTCCTTAATCATGCAACAAATTCATGCAACATGCAACACTCATTCCGTACAAACCATATTTCCAAACACTTTAAATGGCTCTCCTGAATGTTTTAGCAGTGTTTTTAGTTTCTAGGCCATCGACATAAACAGGTGCTCGTGGAGGAAACGTCTAAAATTCCAAAATAAGCTCTTAAGGCAATTTTAAGCCTATTTTATCCAATAAACAAGTGGATATTCCGAATGAATAAGCCGCGATAAGCACTCAAAAGTTAGTTTGAAAAAATTATTTCTAGACAAAAATGTGTGCTACAGAAGCATAGTAACACTTCAGAAGCATGCAAATTGTTTATCATTAATAAAAGAACTGAATATATTTGTTCAAAAAGAAAAATTATTCCAGGAAGAAAAAAAGCACCCAATATACATAATTCGTCTGCTTTTTTATTTGTTACTTAATTTGTCTTTCTGAACAAATATATTTATTTATTTTGTAAATAATAAACAATTTATATGTTTTGGAGGGGTTTATAATTCAAATGTTTGCCTATAAATCATTTTTTCAAACCAAATTGTGAGGGCGTATTGCGGCTCAACCATTCGGAATATCGACGTAGTTTATTCGACAAAACATGCTTAAATTTGTTTTAAGAGCTTCTTTTTGAAATTTTGGCGTTTTCTCCCCGTAAACCCTGTGTAGTTGGTACGCCAAAAGCACAAATTCGTTTTGTGTTTCGCAGTCGATGCTGAACCACCTGAAGGAGAAGAAGGACGTGGGCTTCTTCACGTCGATCGCGGGCCTCATGAACTCGTGCAGCGTGCTCGACCTGGACGCGTTCGAGCGCAACACTAAGGCCGAGGGGCTGGGCGTGGGGTCGGAGGGCGCGGCCGGCGAGAAGAACATGCACGACGCCGAGTTCACCTGCGCGCTCTTCCGCTTCATCCAGCTCACCTGCGAGGGCCACAACCTCGGTGCGCAGCCCTCCCACCCAGCACCCCACCCTCTCCGCCAGCCCCCGCAGTCCTCAGTTGAACTCGACGACTGCCTGGAACGATAGCTGATTCGCTCTTGCAGCTTAGCTCTCGCGCTTCAACACTCTAGGCTTCGGGACGTTGGTCAAGGCCAGGCTGTCTCCTCCCCACCCACCCAGGCAGAGCAGCCTCTAAGGAGGGGAAGATCAACTTCTTAGAAAGGGAACCTTCCCCTCCGCCACTTTTTATGCATGCGCAGTTCAGGTTTTTTTCTACGTCGTCGAGCTATAGTTTGTTACTTTCAATAAACTTGTGTATTCAATACTTTAAAGACTAGATTTATTTTACATTAATTCATCTTATACACATATCACACTACATCACTGTATATCGTTCTTTTGCTACGTTTCAGAGAACTGTATCCATCTTCAGGCTATTAGGTAAACATCTAAATCAATATCATATATCCACGAAATTATGGTAACGTGTAACATCATACGTGCTCATAATTTTTTAGGCACGTAATATATCCTGCCACACTGAATATAAAACAAGTTACATATCGTAATTGACAAACACATGCACTTTACTAGATGTATATACTTCACATATTGCAGTCATGTTGCTACCTCTTTTCTGTGATGTAAAATAAATTTGTCTGAAGCCATAAGTTTCTTGAAAGTATATTTGAATAGACAACTAGTGTACAAGGCAAATAATTATTCATTTCTGTGTTTTTATACTGTGTAACCTGAAATGAAACACTTAATGGTAGACTTTATGCCCGCACGGGCCTTTTAAGACCGCTCCGCTGCCAACTTAGCAAATAACAATCATTATGACTTCTATTTATTATTCTTAATAAACAGCAAAATATAATAAATAAATAGCATAATGCGGGAATAAGTCGTTATAAATAAGAATTTGTTGAATTAATATGAAAATTGCAATTTTGGAATGTTTTTTGAAATCAGAATTCTTGTTTTTTTGAATTAATATGAAAATTACATTTCAAAAACTTTATTGAAATTAAAATTCTCATCAGTCACTCTTGTTTCCTTGTTAGGGTCTGTTAAAGTCTCAGATGCTTTTTGAGTAGTAGTTGTAGTACTACTACTAGTAGTAGTAGTAGTATGTAGATCAAGGTACTTCATTTAATATTCTTGAAATGTATTTTTTTATGAAATGAAATCTTCTTAATGTCTTTTGGTCTAAATGTTTTCTTCTAAATGTCAAATAATCTAAATGTACGCTATCAATTTTGCAATTCACACATTATTTTCCAACTCACAAATACACAATACTCATTTCTATACTCACAACAGACTACTACAGCTTTTGAGTGCTTATTGCGGCTCAACTTTGCGGAATACCCACGTAGTTTATTAGACAAAACATGGTTAAAATTGTCTTAAGAGCTTATTTGCGAAGGTTCGACGTTTCCTCCCCGGACAGCCTGTATATAAAATAACAATAATTAATTGCTTGTGTTCTCTGTTCCTCAGAGTGGCAGAACTACCTGCGTACTCAGGCGGGTAACACGACGACGGTGAACGTTGTCATCTGCACCGTCGATTACCTGCTGCGGCTGCAGGAGTCCATCATGGACTTCTACTGGCACTACTCGAGCAAGGAGCTCATCGACCCCGCGGGCAAGGCCAACTTCTTCAAGGCCATTGGCGTCGCCAGTCAGGTGTTTAACACCCTCACTGAGGTCATCCAAGGCCCTTGCACGCAGAACCAGCAAGCTCTGGCACATTCCAGGTACGGAAGGCGTTGCAGCTGAGGGGGGCAATGAGAGACAACCATAATCCACGCCAAGGCAGTTTTCAATAGTATTTAATTAAACATAATATCAAGGAAATAAATTAATCTATGCCCTGTCATCTGAGAAGAAACTGGAAACTTCTATAAGGAATTGGAATAGGGCTTCTCAAAGAGTATCGCAGTATAGCAAAATTTCAAAATCCTAAAAGTTTGCCTCCTGTCCATTATTCACTTACGCCTTGAATTTTAAGAGTTTACAGAAAAATGACGTATTAAAAACATGTTTTTTTTTATTTCGTACACGATATCAGTATCCCTCCTTTGACATTGCAGTGCAACGTACCAAATTTTAATTAGTTCGTTTAATGTTTTTAATTTCAGAAAAGCTCAGGTAATTAATTTACTGCTAAAAAATTTTCATTACAAACTTTTTTCTGGGATACTTTCTTCAATTAACAAGTATTTAAAAATATTTACCACACATAAAGATATTTTAAGACGATAATGCCAAAAAACATTTTTTTCAGTGACAAATTATGTATTATTTCTTCTATATAATTAGAAACGTGTATAGTACACTAAATATTATTACTCAAAGCTTCATTACGCTTTATCTGTTCTCAGGTTGTGGGACGCAGTTGGCGGTTTCTTGTTCTTGTTCTCGCACATGCAGGATAAACTTTCCAAACATTCTAGTCAGGTTGATCTCTTGAAGGAACTACTGAATCTCCAGAAGGACATGATTACTATGATGTTGTCCATGCTTGAAGGTATGTTTTAAAATGGGGAAGACTTCTGAATTTAAAACGGTTTCATGTTTTGCAGTGTATATAAATGATATGATATTATATTTATAAATGATACATAAGTGATAGTTATTACATTGAAATTATTTTTCATTAACAGTTTTGTTATTATTCATACGTAATGCCCCATCGAGAATTGATTCGACATGTCAAATAAAATGTTACCTATATATGCCATTTCAGAACAGCAGTAAAGCTTCATTTAAGTAGAAAAGCAAAGTCGAGGACAATCTCATCTAATTTTCTCAATTGTAGCTGTACTTTAAATGTGATAGACCAAATAAATTTATGTTTCTAAACTTTATCCTTGCACTGCAGGTAACGTTGTAAATGGTACGATTGGTAAGCAGATGGTGGACACGCTGGTCGAGTCTGCATCCAATGTGGAATTGATCCTGAAATACTTCGATATGTTCTTGAAGTTGAAGGATTTGACTGAGTCGGCGAGCTTCCTGGAGGTCGATGCCAACAAAGATGGTTGGATTACTGAGAAGGATTTCAAAGATAAGATGGAACAACAAAAGAGCTACACACCGTAAGTTGGTCTTCATTGCACGTAGCTCATACACTGGTCCCATCAATGGGCCTAAGGTCAAAGAAAATTATTTGATCTTTCAGAAACATTCGTTTTTTTCCTGATCTAAAAAATAACATAAAATCAGTGTAAGTTAAGTTTTGAAAACTAGTACATTGTAATCTCTGTTAGGAAGTCAGTATTCAAACAGCAACAGAAAATGTTCACTTCTGTTTCGCGATTTCATTTTCCTTCATGTGGTAACATGTGAACGTTCTTGTTATTAAAGTAACAAATCTGTAATCTCAGTCGTTTGAAAACATTATAAATCACATTTTTATACAACTAAATACTAGTATATCGATTTGATTGATGCTGTGGTTCTTCAAGCAACTTTACAGCAATTTTGAAGGGTATTGTTTCGAAATTAAAAATAATATATAAATGGTTAAAGTGAATTCATTACAGTTAAAAAATTGTTTTCAGGGAGGAAATCGAATTTCTGCTTACGTGCTGCGAAACCAACCACGATGGCAAAATCGACTACATTACGTTCACCGACAAATTCCACGAACCCGCCAAGGAAATCGGTTTCAACTTGGCTGTGCTGCTTACCAACCTGTCGGAGCACATGCCCAACGAGCCTAGGTAAGAATTCAAGGTATTTTGCCTGACAATTCAAGCAATCAGACTTTTTGGGGGAGTAAGCATTTGAATTCAAGTACTTATAGCCTATTTTCTTTGTTTATTCCATGATTTTCTGCCTTATAAATGATTTTGAAATGTATGTTGGGATATTTCGACTATACACTTTTTTATGTAAATTTTACAACAGTCTTTTAAAAGAACTTGCAGGTTACAAACCATTAAATTTATTAATACCAAATAAAATGCAATTAACGCTTTTTAACTTTGCAAGTCCTACGTCATTCACATCTCTCTCTCTCTCTTTGATCAACTACAATTCTCATTTTTAGGCAAGGCAGATAAACGCTGCATTATTGGTGACTTCATATCATTGGTTTAGGAAATCCGCAATAACCAACATTTCTCTTAATGGTTCAATACAACGGAATGAAATAATTAAACTGTTATGCGTAGAAATCTTATCATATTGCATTAATTATGGTGACTACAACAATAATTGTTACTTACAAAAAAGAAGTTTATTTCTTATCCATATGTTGTTGCGCACTTTTTCAATGATTGTTCACATGTATTTCTAAATTTATTACGACTACACCGTTTGTGGAATATAAACTAATACTGTTTCATAATTTTCTTTGTATCAACCAATAAGTGACAACTTATTAGCGTCATTTTATTGCTAGTATTCCAAGTATATCGTTTACCTTCTGAAGTAACCGTAGCATGTTCTTTACATCGATGTTGTAATATAGTAATATTTGAATGAAATATATTTTATAGGTATGATGTAATATTTTTCACTTATTTATTTTTATTCTTGGAATAGTACCACTCGTCCTCCGGAATTACCCAGGTAATCGGTAGATATTCCCAGATCATTTCCAGTGCACTGGTAGCTACCCTCAACCTTTAAACTGTCCCTTTTCCGCGGCTTTGATGCAATGGAGAGACCTTCTGTGGTGAATTTAGAGTGTACGCTTTGAAATGGCTTAATGACCTCCGACCCAGCCACTGTATCCTGTAATACGCTCAATATGTGTTGTAAATGGCTTAATAAATAAAAATGAACTACCTTGAATGTTGCAGCATCCTGTATAACAGATTGCAATGGTCGTATAGTGTTTCTGTTTTGGAGGAAATAACGAAATAAATGACCCGCCTCCATTTTGAACACAGGTTAGCGCGGTTCCTGGAGACCGCGGGCTCCGTGCTCAACTACTTCGAGCCGTTCCTCGGCCGCATTGAGATCATGGGCGGCAGCAAGCGCATCGAGCGGGTGTACTTCGAGATCAAGGAGTCCAACATCGAGCAGTGGGAGAAACCGCAGATCAAGGTGACTTTCTCTACTTCAAACGCGACAATTGCCTTCTAATTTGTCAGCTCCACAATAACACCCCAAAACTGAAGTGATGCGATTACACTATAAACATTCTATTTTTAAAAAAATATGATAGAAAAATGAAGACCTTTTTACAGGCTGCGTGTCATTTGAGTGAGAATGTTTCCTCTGATTATCGCACATATGGTTGTTTGCGAGGACCCGGCCATTGGCCGCACTTCGGAACGGCTGTGTATTTGACCCGGGCTTCCTGTAAAGCTTAGCCCCCTGCACGGTTGAACCGGCGCTTCCCGTGGGCGTCACCTTACAACCCTGGGTGTGCCGTCATTCTCCACCAGATGCCGTTTTGAATTTAACAACATCCGAGCAATCTGCTTGGGAGACCGTGAGAAATGTTAGGACGGGAAATTGCCGAAGGAATTTCATTTTGCCTAGAACCAGCCAGGCTTCTTTTACATGCCGTAAGCATGACAGGCATGGTATGGGTACTGTGGATTTTTCGCCCTTCAAAAATCCACGACCTTCAGCCGAGGTGGAACTCGTGTACTGGGGGTAAGCTAATCACTCTGGGGGTAAGCGCACACCTACCACAATTTTCGCGAAGTTGAATACCACGTGATCCGTCGTTTTCCCGCGCATTTGTTTTTGCACTTTGTCCTAAATTTAGTTAAAATATTTGAGGATAGTGTTGTGTGATTTTTGATTTGGATGGGTCAAGATTTTTTGGGCCGCAAAACGAAGGCACTAATAGAAATGTAAACAATAAACACGTATCTTACGTACTTACAATCGTGCAAAGGAACACTATATGGTGGCGACATGTTATCACTAATGACAACGCAATGACACTGTACAAATTTTGTATAGGAAAAATGAAACATGCTTCATTTTTCATACATGAAGCGTCCAACTTTTAAAGAAACAAAATTGCATTAACATGATATTACAGACTTTAATCGTCATATAGAGAGTCTCTTGAAGAATAAGTTTCAATGTTTTCACTCTTTAGTGGTTGTCACAGTGGAGCGGTTTGTGGTCGAAATCCCTGTCGGAGTACGTCTGCTAATTCTGACTAGTGTTGCCGATTCTTTGGAGATTTGCTGTTGAACGAAAATGAATGCAATGAGCTCTGGGTAGTGAAGTCATTCCAGTCGGTCCTTTTTTTGATAAAAATACGGTCCACCCGAATGTTTACCAAATGGGGCAGTGCCAGAGTTTTTGGAGTTCTCCGGTTTGCCTTGGCTTTCAATTCGCTCTTTATCTTTCAACATTCATTACATAGAATCATAAACACTTAACCCATCCTTTCCAGGCAATAAGACTTTTGTTCATATACAAAGTCTTGTCATAATAAAGAATAAAAAGCCTGAAATACTTCTGATGGTTTCGGGATTCGTATTGTTCTTGATATTTTTGTCAGAAAAATTCCATTTCTTACCAGATGGCATTTTCCAAATTGTTTGAATTACATTATATCAGCATTTTACTTTACCAAATAGAATAAAGGCTTGTCAGCTTTTATATCTCAATCAGTTTACCTGGCATTTTCCTAATTTTCAAAAGTAGACAATGATACCGTAACCTACGTGTAACAAAATGCTTTCAGGTTCAGTTATCTTGATAATTATTATTTCTGCATGCGATTCAACTTTTTTGACAGTGATACATTCTTCTCCTTTTTCTTCTTCTTTTTCTTCTTCTTTTTCTTCTTCTTTTTCTTCTTCTTTTTCTTCTTCTTCTTTTTCTTCTTCTTTTTCTTCTTCGTTTTCTTCTTCTTTTTCTTCTTCTTCTTCTTTTTCTTCTTCTTCTTCTTGCGAATGATCCCAATTGGGACTACACAAAGTACTAAGATGTGTTACTTAGCCTTTCTTTGTGCCCACATTTCTTTCAGCCTTTGGCTGTGCGCCTTTATTCTCTCTTCGAGCCAGTTCCCCTGTTCTACACTTTGATACTTCTTCCAAATCAATCCCCCATGACTGCACTTCAGATCTAAATGCCTTCCTAATTTGAATGTCTTCTTCTGTGATCCCTGATAATTGAAGGTCCTTTTTAATTTGATCCATTTTACAGACATTATCCATTATAATAAATCTGTGTTTGCCCAGGAATCCAAACGTGCCTTCTTCTACTCCATCGTGACGGAGGGCGGCGACAAGGAGAAGCTGGAGGCGTTCGTCAACTTCTGCGAGGACGCCATCTTTGAGATGACGCACGCGAGCGGGCTGATGGCGGTGGAGGAGAGCGGCGGCGGTAGCAAGGTGCGCGAGGCCCAATACACCTACCTGGGCGACGACGACGAGGAAAGGTCAGTTTTACTCTCGAGCTTTACTGCGTCCATACGTGGAAGACACGGGCATTCGTGGCCGGAGTCAATGGAATATTGGCTTTAAAATCCATTTAACTCTCAAGAAGGTCGCAATGTGACGACTGAAAAGTTGACAACCATGCTAAACAGTGCGGGATCTGGACTGTCTGGGTGACGCCGCGTCGAAGGCTGTGTTGCCGACATTTCGACCACCTTTTCGGTCGAAACGTCGGCAACAGACTTCGACGCGGCGTCACCCAGACAGCCCATATCACGCACATGACTCTGGCCGCGGAAGCCTACGACTTCATGCTAAAGAAGTGTTAGTTTCTGGATAGCCCTGCCTTCGCTGTACCCAATTGTGGCTTTGTTAATGATATTGGGATTTAAACTTGTTTATCATATTTAATTACACATTTGCTTGGGAAGTGCGTGCGCGACATTTCGGTCTTGTTAGTTAATAGTATCATAATTTTATAACGTAAATAAGTGGCATTATATTTGCGGAGGCGTGAGCAACAACATCAAACCCATATAAGCGTGTGCTAAGTTACTGGCATCCTCAACGTTTCAAATTACATATAGATAAATTTCATCACACAGTACTTGCACGAATAATTTGAATGCATTTTTACGTGAAATAAATGTGTTTAAACTGTGGTTTTTTAACATTGGGTTGTTATAATCACTTAACACAACCAAACAGAGGAACGAAAAGCCATTATTTACATTAAGTTCCGTTAAGCATTTTAACAGTCCTCCATCCTTAAAGAACAATCAAAACAAATCAGTTGAGCGGAAAATAAATATCCTAAATATATTTTCTATTTATACGATTTTTTTAAAGAAGGCGGTATTACGAAAAATATTACGAAAATCTGGAGTGTTTACTAGTCTCATCCGGGGCCGTTATTTTCCTCATAACGGCCTAGAGGTGTTAATCCGCATTTGGTGCGCGCGTGTGTGGGCAGGTCGGGCAAGGACCCGTTCCGGCGCGGCCTGCAGGCTGTCAAGGACGGGCTGTCCTTCAGCCTGGCCTTCCTCAAGCCCAGCAACCTCAAGACGCGCATCGCCGAGATGCAGCAGATGACCTTCCCCGAGATCATCGTCGCCTTCTTCAAGATGATCTTCTACGCCTTCTACTACTCCGGATTCGGGGTGTCGGTGGTAATCAGGTAAGGACGCGCATGGACACTTTTGAACATCATTTATCCTTTGTATCAACAGTAGTGTAAACCGCGTCCCCCGACTCGTGCAGCAAGTAATTGATGAATAATTTTATTTTACTTTTAGAAAATAATCTACTCATACGTGTATTATTTATTGTGTTAGTATTTGCATTTCTTATACTGGTAAGAATTTGTTCATCGTGATGGCGGTATCCTAAATCTTTTGTTTCAATTTTTATATCAAGTAGTGGTTCTGTTAATTATTATTTTATCGATTGCCTTCTTTGAATTATATCAAATATCAAAAATGTTTGTTAAAATAAGATCTCTTTGTATTTGTTGGGTAAATGTGAACGAATACGCCATTGTAAGAAGTATACAAGCAGGAAACAAAAGTAATTTTAATACTATTCTTCATTATTGAGTGACATTAACCGATCAAATAATGAATCTCTCCCCTTATTATCATAGTTTATTCAAACTCGTTACATTGAGGAAATTATCTGCAAGTGGTTGTAGGCAAACTATCAAAACCTGCCAACAAGCAAATGCGTATAATAGGGATTCAAGTTTTTCGTGTTTTAGTTTTCATTTACCCTACAAATATTAGCTTATTTATGAAATATTAACTATGTTAGATATGGGGTAAGAAGTCGTTCGTAAACTTTGCCAGAAAATAAAAATCTTCAGTGGAAGCAGCGCTACCCGGAAGCGCTGCCGAGCGGCTCAGTGTGAAGGGGCTCTACACTGAAATGAAGGGGCTTACACTATGTGATCGTAAGTGTCCGGGCATGTGGCTGAAAATGAGTTCGTGGCGCCCTCCATCGGTAGTGCTGGAACTCAATAGGGTTTCAGCCCACCCTTAGCCTTGATGACAGCTTCCACTCTCGCAGGCATACTTTCAATCAGGTGCTGGAAGGTTTCTTAAGGAATGGCAGCTGATTCTTCACGGAGAGCTGCACTGAGGAGAGGTATCAATGTAGGTCGGTGAGGCCTGGCACGAACTCGGCGTTCCCAAACATCCCAAAGGTGTTCGATAGGATCCAAGTCAGGACTCTGTGCAGACCAGTCCATTACAAGGATATTATGGCCGTGTAACCACTCCGCCGTAGGCCGTGCAGTATGAACAGGTGCGCGATAGTGTTGAAAGATGCAATCGCCATCCCCGAATTGCTCTTCAACAGTGGGAAGCAAGATGATGTTTAAAACATCAACGTAGGCTTGTGCCGTGATAGTGCCACACCAAACGACAAGACCCTCCATGAGAAACGCCATAATATCATATTGGACGTGTCCGGATTCATTTTTTTCGCATAGTGCAGTTCACCCGCACGGAGTCCCTCAGGGTCCGCTTTCCGGGCCGCGCGCCTCCGCCGCCGCGAGCTGTGCTGAGCGCGTGCGCGCGCGCGTGCGCGTGCGCAGGTACATGGTGCGCGTGCTGATGACGCTGATGCGAGGCCCGCAGCAGGAGGAGCCCAAGGAAGAGCCGCAGGAGGAGGAGCGGGCGCCGTTGCGGGTGCTGCCCGCGCTGCCGGGCACGCCCGACGAGCCCACGGCGCCGTCGCAGATGCAGGCGTTCGGCCTCGACATCACCAAGGAGGACAACGGACAGTGAGTACCCGCGTCGCGTACGCGATAGAAGGGCTCACGCTGTAATTTCAAAGAAATTAAACAAAAATAATGAAGGCGGAAATGTAACGCTAAAACACGGCACGGAGGTTGGGTGCAGTTTCGTGCCCAGGGGCTTTGTGGGCTACCACGGTATCTGGGAACCACACGTCATTCTGACGAAAAGGGTAATCCTATGACGTTTACGTGCGAATGCCCTGTGAGGGGATACGCGTATGCTGCCCCAAGACGGCATTCCGCGTTGAAGGGTTAAGGGGACAAGGGCTTCGGGGCAGATAATCCTATACCAGTTTCGGCAAATCTTGAGGCATATTCCTGTTGGTGTCTCCGTAAGAAGAATTAAATTTTGATTTCAAATGACAAAGTTTAGGTTAAAGATTCCTTACATGTATAGTCAGGGCATGTGACACAGTTTTGTCTGATAACTACTTGGCTTAAAACTACCTTCTAAGCCCTACCAACTAAGCCCTTCATATAATAAATGTGTTGCAAATAATTAAACAAAAATGTGTTTATAACTATTTTGTTAAAATAGGAAAATTGAATACACTTGTTCAAATTTAAAATTTTCTTGAAGTATATCGTAGGGTCTCCCAAGTACCCCTCCCCCAAACCGACTACATTTCATTATTCTGGGAATTATTTTATCATCGTATTTTGACCTGTAAGGGGACATCTCTCTTATCAGGTTCACATTCACTCTGTGCATTTGCCCCAAGTCGATTTAGACTTCAGAAAATAATATCGAGTAACCTAAATGATAAGTCCGTTTTTGGACAATCTAGACTTTTCAAAAAACTTAATGGCATCTTCCGCAGTAAATCGGCTTGAAAAGTTATAGGCATTAATAAAACTGTTTTATATTTCATAAGTCTTGTGTTATGATGCGGAAAGTTCATGAGTACTGTGTATTATCGCCTACATTCTGCCTGCGAGGACAGATGGACGTACTGCAGCAGGTGAGAGATTGGCGGGTTGCCTATTCTGACGTGTGTCACGGCGCTTGCATATCGCAATTCCTGCTTGAGGTGTTAGACCAAAAATAGATCAAAATATAGAAGATAGTAATTTTTGCCTGCACTGCAGTTATGTAAATGTATATATATCACATGTGAATTTCACGTAGATCGAAACGTAGGTACAAAATGACGCTCTCTAATGAACACTTGATTTACGTTTTCGTTGCATAGTCATAAAGAGTGACGAAGTTGTTAATTAGTCCTCCATGATGGAATACGTCCATGAAGAGAATGATTATGTGAAATATGTAGGTGATCATATATATTCTGCATTACAAACCCTAATTTTATATTATTTTATATATAAATGAAAAATGTTTGATCGTATTTATGTTAACCAAATATTTGTTATAGCATCAAATACAGGAAAATCATAGGACCCGAAGCAAACAACTAATGTGTTGTATAGTTCACTATGAAAATTCTGAATCTGTGTTTTCTCACCCCATCTCACCCCAGTAATTCCATAGTTTCACATATGACCTGCAATGTCTAACTTTTTCGGTATTCCCTGCCACTGCATTGAAACCATTGTTCTCTATTATCCATAAATATCCCGTTGCTTCCGAATAGTCGGACGATCGTAATTAAAAATACATTTGTAAATCCTATAAGTAATTAAGTTTTTTGTTTCGAAAATTAGATTCAAACCACGAGTTTTTTGTTGGACAAATTCCTAAGATTTTTTAAATATTTTTAATTGGTGTTTTTCTAGCACTTTCACTTCAGAATCGTTAGACCATTTCAGTCTGAAGTGCACGCCTTCATTGTGGTGCACGGGTGTTATGTCCGCAGGGGCAGACATCGGCACCACCACCACCATCACCACCACCAACAACACCACCACCATCACCCGCACCCTGGTGCCAGGTACCCTGTCTGTCTGTCAGCCGCTTCCGCCCGCTCTGTAAACGCTCTAATCGCTGAAACCGCCCTAACCCTAACCGCTGCCCCCGCTCTGCCTCCGACCACCCACCACCCACCACAGAGGCCAGTGGGTGGTCCAGCAGCCACCGCGTAACCACACGCCAAGCTCTTCGGCATCCTTTGTCTCGCAGTGTAATGCAATAATCTTTGTGCAGAGATTATCACCTTTTTGAGAGCAAGGATATGTGTAACGCCAAGATGCTATAACTACGTCTATACTTTAGATGTATGTAATAAGATCATTTTCAGCCTTTTCCACAGGGGAAATGCTGAAATCCGTTAGCACCTCGATGTGCACATGCAGGAAAATCTTTGAAAGTCCTGAGTGATGAACACAAAGATTTTTTCAGTAGTGCGATTTAGCTTTTAGATCTCCTCTAGATTAGAAAGTAAAACGCATTCTATGCTTATTGTATCATTATGAATGATGCTTTCCCCTTGCTCTATATTTCTCATTTTGAATTCCACTATGATCAGAATACTAAAATTACATCGTAACGTTATTTTTGTGTTGTAGAGGTACAAAATATAGATGTAGATGATACAAAATGCAGTTAATTACCACTAGTGTATAAAATACAAATTCAAATCAGTCTCCAAAAAGGCAGGACTTGTATATAAACCTACTCCAGATTAACATTCATATTGCCAAAAAATGTGATAATCTTTGTCATTGTGTTTTTGATCTTGACAGCTCAGATAAAAACGAATCAGTGTAAATACAAAATACAATAGTATTTATTTTCTACTGAATGATTCAGATTTTAACACTTATTGCGACAGAGAAAATATGTTTTAAACCCCAAATATCATTGTTTACTCTGTTACACATACTGTATGTATTATCTTACTACTACGGCGTGGACATTAAAAACATAGATCATTGTCTGTAAAACGAGGATTTCAAAATATATCACCTCCATAAAACTATAAGTTTCCGGATCTGCAATTTGCATGTCAAATTCATATTTTGAGTGTGTGAATAGCCAAAGACGTAAAGAACAACGAATAGAAAAAATAATCAGTATTTTAAGCAAACTATTTTTTTAAAAATCACAATTACCCATTTCTTCTCTTCCTGACTTAAACGAGCTGTCAATGGTCAAATTATTTTAAAAAAGAATTCAATATAATATGATATTCTGTGACACTCCTTCAGGGACGGGTCAACAGGAGCTGAGATTGGCTGTCTACATTAACAAGCAAGCTGCTACTTTATAATTATGTAAACGACTACCATTTATGCATCTCTTATGTTTTATGTTTGTGGCATCTTTTCGTCAGTAATTTTTATATTAGTAACACTAATAATTTTTTCAGCGTATTGTTTTTTTTATTTCAGTTACATTAGTGTATCTACGTATGTAGACATACTTGTAATTAAAACCAGATCTTTCTCTATTTGTTCTATTATTTATTAGATATATTGTATTTAGGCATAATACTCGCATTTTCGCAGATCAGTTATTGATACAAGTTAGATATAGATGTACAAAATGTGATTATTATGTAGTTATTTAATTAGTAGAGAAATTCATTCATTCAAGTAACATTCCTGTGTTCGTGGTAAATATTCATGTACGGTAAATGTACAAGTAGATGTGTATATAGAATTATTAGAGTGTACATAACTATTAACATTTTAAATTATTTTTTATTTGTCAGCAAAGACAAAGAGTAAGTATGAAAAGAGTAAGGAAATATTAACAAACATATCGCATAATACGTTTCAGAAAACCCATCCAGTTAAATTCTAAACTTTTTATTAATATACACTGTGAATGAGATTATTGAATTGAACCAATTTTACTCTTTTATAATTAATCAAAAATTACAATTTAGAAATTAAATAAATTTTATATCATTCTTTCGCAATGTGTTATGAAGAAATGTGTTATCTGAAGCAGAAATCTTGCTGTAGGTGCACAATACAGGCCAAGTATTTTATAAATTAATGTTATTATATAATTTAAAATTAAATAACAGGCAATAATATTAGATCATTTGCGTTAAACCAGTTTTTAACTGTCTAGTATATTTCTTAGTTCTTAATTTGAAAACGTATCCCCGACTTGTGCTTGTACGATGTAGTTCTCGTGAGACATGAATGTCTTCATTTTGTGATGTTCGCAAGGAAGGTAATAATTCAAGCATTTTAATACTCATTAATTTCACGTGTTTCGACTCTTCCATGTTCTATACTTATTCTGATGGAATCAGTGATTGATGTACGCTCACTGGGCAATGTTACGTTGTGAGCTAATTAGCAAACATTACTGCCAGACAATCGTGATCAGTTTTGGGAATGAAATGCCATCGTGCAGCGCTAGGACTGAAACGCTACCAAAGTCATGGGCTGCCTCTCGAAATCTTCAAACTCGAACGACTGCCTTCTTTAAACCTGACATGCTATAGTGGTAGAATATCATCGGAATTTGAAACCCGAAGTCACAATAGGATGCACGAAAAGTATCGAAATTGTATCTGTCAAATACCATAGGAATTTGAACCCCGAAAAAGTCCATGGTGGATTGGCAGAAACAGAGCTGAAATTCCGTTGACGAAATGCCATCAGCGTTTCATCCGCAAAGACTACGATAAGTAGACTGAAAAGGGTTGCAATTACATTGGTCAAATTTAAACGTGATTGCAGCCGTGAAAGGGGGAGAATGGCGGAAACAGGGCTGAAATACCTTTGGACGAAAGTCATCTGTGTGTCAGCCGGCATACCTGCCCACTACATGACGTCGCTCAAAGAGCAGAGAGCAACAAAAATGTCTTAGTTATCTGATTACCGTTCGTCAGCACCCCAAAGTTTAGACATTTTTAGACATTTTCGGCTACTTCAATGATCCCCCATTTTCCCACTGTCTACTTGTGATAAAATTACAGCGACGGTTTCGGTTTGGCACCTTAGAGTTCGCAATGTTGACGTAAATTTTGACTCTCACATTTGCCACGAAGGATCCCCCAAAAACGATCCGTAACAGATTTTTTATTCATTATTTGAATTCTCCGTCTGAGAGAATAAGACATGTGAGTAGAAAGGGAAATTTTCGAACCTTTATATGTTACCGGGCATTTATGCAAGGTTCTCTTACTAGCCGAAATTTCTAGAATTTCCGCCCCTTGAAACTCCATACAAACTGAACCGCGCTCGAACCCTTTGAGAAGCTAGTAATCTAACCAATTACCTACGGCCGTGTGCAGCATTCACTCCAAAGAACTACAAAAATTTTAATCGCTTATTTTGAAAAGACCGGATTTCCCACACCTCTTTGACGAATGCAAATTGTTAGAATAGACGGAAGCATGGTCCTATTCGAGCTAAAAAGAAAACCATATCTCCTTGTAAAGTATAAACAAATCACGGACCAAATGCGTTTTCGCAATTACAAATCTAAACCCAGTTCTGAATCGTACGGCAATTGTTGGCCCTGGCCGCGGGGGTTGCGCGTTCCCCCGCGAGGAGCGCGAGTGTGAGCGGCGCTGCGTGCGCAGGTTCCACATGGCGCCGCACGAGAGCGCGCCGCCGTCGCCGCAGTCCAGCCTGGAGGAGGGCGGCGAGTCGACGCCGGAGGAGGCCGGCGAGGAGCACGCCAAGGCGGAGGGCGCCGAGGGCGAGGCGCCGCCCACCCTCGCCGACCTCCTTGGGTGAGCACAAACACATACCTACTCTGGGCCCTACAGGAAGAGTATGCGGGAGTAGTGAGTACGCGCGTGAGGGAGTGGGTGTGTTCGTGAGGGTGTGTGTGTGTGTGTTCGTGAGAGAGTGAGTTTGTTTGTGAGGGAGTGGGTGTGTGTGCGTGAGGGAGTGGGTGTGTGCGTGAGGGAGTGGGTGTGTTCGTGAGGGAGAGGGTGTGTGTGCGTGA